AAATTGAATTGTCTACTATCTTGCGAAAAATTCCTGTCAATGTAGAATTAATATTTACAAAATTGTACTCATTCTAAGCGCGTCATTGGTACGGTGGTACGACGGTAGAGCGCTCGCCGACCACACATGTGGTCCAAAGTTCGATCGCCGGCCGATGCACTCCTCCTTTACCTGGCCAAGCCAGTAATAAGACCGGAAAGGAGAGAAGGTTGGGCATGAGGTTGGATTCCGTAAAAATAAACATCACTGCTACTGAAACTTAAAGCCTCTAGCTTGAAGCCCTATGTTCCAATAAGAACGCAAAGGAATAAAAAAACTCATTCTAATCTTAAGTACTATTAGTTAAAATGTCCTCATTCCGGTGATTTTATTTAATTGTATTCATTTGCGTTCCGAGTGGAAGAACATAAGTCTTCAAGCATCAACAGTGAAGTTTCACTAGCAGTTTTATTATTTTTTTTTACGGGTAAGCTTGCTAACCCCACGCTCGACCTTCACTCTTCATTGGGCTTATTATTATTTTTTAATATATTTAATATAAATTCATTGGGCTTACTACCAAATAAACGAGGTTAAGGAGGGCGTCGGGTGAGGATCGAACTCCGGACCACGTGCGGCGTTGTTGGCGAGCATTCTACCATTGAATCGCCACGGCACCTATACCTACGGAGATCATAGTTATTATAAATACTAGTTAAGTCAAGCTTATTAGTGGTTCTGATATTTGTCTCCTCTGTACGACAGAATGTATTAAAGAATCATAGGAGACTGTGGATTACTGGACAGCTGTAAGGGGTGAACTCGTTAGCTATTCAGTCATTGGGTTGGAATTCAATGACCTGCCTGTGAATTCCAACTTCGGTTAATCCGTGTTATAATGTCATGGCCAACCGCTGGCATAGACAAGCCTTTACTTCATACCTAATATCTATCTAACTTCAACATATAAACACGTTTAAAACCTTCAAGTTGATATTCACAGTAAATAAGTCACTATTTAACAAGCGTATGCATTCTGCAGTGGACGACAACAATAAATTCAATAGAAATCAATTCATCATTAGCATAAATGACTATTGGATGAAAATTTTCAATAGCCTATTTGATTCTGTTGAGTGATTCTATCTATGATAGGTACTCATAATTAAAAAATCAATAATACAATATGATATAGGTTAATCCTCTAGTAGAAAACTACACCCCTTATAGAAGCTGAAACTAATTTGTACTTTTTTTTACTGTACAATTAGCTCATAATGTTGTTATCAAATAAATTTCAGTCTAGAAATTATTTTCTGTCTAACTCACTAGCAGAAATATTTCTCTGGGAAACAAAGTAATGCTTAAAATTTAAAATATAGAATGCTAAAAAGACTTAATTCTGAATAATATTCATAAATGAATATAGGGTTTATTGACTTAAGCAAGTACTCAACTTTCCTACAATGAGTCACAGGTTCGAATCCCAACCCGGCCTACTTCAGCCTGAACATTATCGATTAGCATCATCACTCCTCACACAAAATCCATGTAGACCATTGTTTGAAGGTGAGAAATCTGTTCCGTCTAATAACAGAGCTCTAACTGATCGTTATAACTCTTGGAAACAATCACTGCCGCTCAGGGGAGATGGCTATCATAAAGGATCTTAAAATATCACTTCTTACTGAGGTGAGAGCTTAAGATAACTTCCAGGATGATAGTGATAGATTGTCAACCAAACCATTCAGCTTATTATTATTATTCCCTTGAGTTCCGAGTGGAACATAAGGCTTTAACAACACATCTCCACTTTCTTCTATTTTCTGCCATTCTCTTCGACTGGGTCCGCGATTGCCTACAAAGTCTCACCTCCTTCTCACACGATCTCCTCCATGTCACCCTGGCGTTGATGACCCACTCGTCGGCTCCCATTTGGATTCCACTTGAGCGATGGCTTGCATTCATTCGACGGCCTCCTCAATGTGTGCCCGATCTATCTCCATTTTCTCCTACAGATTTGTTGAGCGATCGCCTCTTGGTTGGTTTGTTCCCACACTTTCTTGTTACTTATTTTTTCTGGCCATTTGATCTTGAGAATGGAGCGAAGGCAGCTGTTTATGAAAGTTTGCAACCTGTTTGAGATCCTTTTCGTTACACGCTGGCCAAGTTTCTGACCCGCATAGAACGACCGAATTGACATTTGGTTTGAAAATCCGAATCTTGTTATTTATGCTGGCTGAGTGCAGAAGATTTCCAAATTGCTTTCAGGTTGATGAAGGTGTATCTTGCCTTTCCTATTCTGGTTGACTGGTTCTGACATCCTCATCCGCTCCGTGTACCTGTAGTTGAAACGATGCTTCCTAGATAAATGAAGGAAGTAAACTCTGTCAACTCTCTCCCGTTGATGGTGATTGGTGCTGGTTGTTGTTGCTGTTGAATTGTTATCTTCATCACCTCCGTCTTCTCTGTGTTCACCTGCAGTCCTGTCTTCGCAGGCTGCTTCTTCTGCCAGTTTGCTGGTTTTCGCCTGTAAGTCTTCTAGTTTGTGTGATATCAGATCTCCTAGACTCTTCTCATTGGTGGTCCAGAGTACTCCTGTCTTCTCACTCTCAACGCCCAGTCTGACGCATAATCCAGTCCACCACAATTAGGAATATCATCGGTGATAATAGGCAACCAGACTTGTCTTACTCCTGTACACATTTCGAACGCCTCGCCGAGTTTTCCGTTGTGGATCACTTGACACGTGGCACTGTCATATAGCCAGCTGTTGAATGAGTTTGATAAAGACTTTGGGCACAACATGCCATAGTGTCAAAGTAGTTTCCAAATTACTTCTCGGACAACGATGTGCTGTCTGGCGAAGGCCTTTTCGAAGTCGACGAAGGAAGTTGAGGTAGATGTTTGACTGGCATTCTATGCTTTGTTCTGTGATGACGATGTGTAGAGTTGCAATTTGATTAGCACATGATTTGCCTTTCCTGAATCCAGCTTCTTTTGGTCAGTGTGGTGGAGTTCTGTATCCAGTGCATCCTTTATACTCTCCAGGATAATGCAAATTAGTATTTTAGTTGGTGTGGACAAGAGCATTATTCCACGCCAGTTCTTGCAGCGAGAGGCCTAGGTTGCCCTTCTTTGGCAGCTTGATGAGGTAGCCTAGCTAACAAGCTTTCTATCCGGTCCCAATCCCGGGTAAAGAGGGAAAATATATTAAAAATACAAAACTTCAAATAAAAATCTTATTCTTCTCTTGAATCGGAGAAGCGAAATGACGTGGGCTGATGAAAGCCGGCATTCGGGAAGCCAGTCAGCCAACCAATGTGTCTTCTCTCGATGAAAGCGAGAATAAGAATGGAGACACTGAATGTTAGTACAATGTTCGTGACTGGGTAGACTGTCCAAGCAGCCAACGTAATGCGGAGATATGGCATGGAAGTTCTGGGTATCTGCGAAAGCAGATGGAACGGTTGTTGACAGTCCAAATAATCAACTGGAAACCATTCAGGCTAGGGAACACTCTCCTTTGTTCGAAAACGCCTAAAAGTTTAAAAGTTTCCCTAATTTGTCTCCAGTTGGTCCCAATGTTTTCATATCTTCAAAAGTTTTTTGACCAACTATTTAATATATAATACTGTTATAATATGATAGACATTCGTATGTCCAGTACATGATTTGCCTTCCCTGAATCCAGCTTCTTCTGGTCATTGTGGTGGAGTTCTGTATCCAGTGCATCCTTTATTCTCCTCAGGATGATGCAAATTAGACATTCGTATGTCCAGATGTAGATGTTCTGCTATTTCTAGTAACACTTTTAATCACCTTAGTCCATTAATAATATCGCTGTAAAATGAAGCGTCCATCGACTGCGTTTAACTAACTTCAGCGTGAATCTGTGAATACAAATTATCTGGCTTATTCTTTTCAATATTTTGTATTGCATTTTTAATTCATTGCAGTGACCACTGCTGTTTGAAGTGGTCGGTATTTAGAGGCCTTCGGTGATTTATTTCATTTTTATGTGCTGGACAACAATGCTTTGTGTCGGAATGGAAAGAATATACATCTACTCCTCGAAATGTTGACACCAAGTGGGGGAGGGGTTAAGCTACGATACTGATTGCAGAAAAGTCCGGTAGCCAACACCTTGCGACTTCTTCCACTTCCGAACATACTGTCACTGTCATCTAAATTCATTGTTGTATGAATGTTATCACATTTGATTGATAGGTCACAAAGTGTTCAATATCCTTCAGGTTCACTCCGAAACCAATTAGATTCTCTTTCCAGAAGAAAAAATAACAAGGATAATAGCTTTATTACGAAAAGTGAATGTAGACACATTACAGATTTTTCAGCAAGTTTCATTCCAAGGTATTTACTCCATATGCAGAGTCTTCAAATAATGGAATAACCGCTAATCTGTCATATGAAGAAACATCGTTCCATCCAAAGTATGTTCCACTACTACTCCACAATATTGTTTCTCCATTTCCTTCGAAAAATTCGTAGCGATAGATAGAAACTTATTTGAAATTGTTCGTGAGTTTAGATTGCGACTCACTGTGGTAATCAGACGCTTAAAACAATATGAAACGGAGTAAATATAATGCATTTTGATGGACAGAAATATTATGTAGCGCAGTAATTTAAACAGGCCGCCCAAACGCTTAAAAAACTCCTTTAAAATACCACGTTATTACTGTACATTTCTTGTTTTAATTTTTATTCTACATTGTGTAGAAAAGAATCTAAACAATCAATTATAAGTTAATCTTATTTTCATTATTATCCTCTATACTAAAAATATATGTCAGGCAAAGGACACAAGACTAGCTGAACAAGTCAACCGTTCAACCCCCTGTTTCCAATCTACTCAAACTCATGAAATTCTGCTTCTTTCGCTTTGTGCTACAGCCTCACTGTCAACTAATATACAGTGTGGTATAGAGAGTTGTGAAATAGAACGAAACGCAAACATTTGAATATATTACTAATATTCTTATTGACTTTGTTTATAGATTATCGATGGCAAGCAGCAGTAAGAGCCTATGAAATTGAACAGGCGAACAGAGAATTTCGACTGATACAATCCGAGTTGGAACGACTTAAAGCATTACAAGCAGAAAGACGGAAATAACAAAAAAATAATATAGTATCCAGTATAAATTGCTGATCAAGTAAAAACAAAAACAATGCGTCGGTATATTCATTCCTTCATTCAGGATTTATAATTTTATGATATTTATTTGTTGCTTTGGTAAAAAGAAAATTCACTATTCTACAAATTACACACTTCAATTTCAGTCGTGTCTATTCGTGTGTAAATCATGTGTAATAATTCAATTCACCACCATGATTTGAATTCAAAATTATTAATAATAATAATAACAGTAACAAAGCGTTACTCAATCTCATGTATGCGCCAATTTCGTCTATGCAAGGCAGCTTGGACAGATTGATTAGTGTTCATCATTGGAAGCTTTTCCAACTATAACAGATTTAAGATTTCCTATGAGCAGTGAGCATTTCGAAAAAGAAAAACATTTCGTCTACTCTCTGATTACTTAGTTTACATCCTTGATTTATTTTCAACTAGAATTAATTTCACATCTATATATAGTTTTCTAATTTAGAGTACCAAATGAAAATCGATGTTTTTAGAAGAGGAAAACACAAACTCAAAAGAAGTGAAGAAGAAGAAAAAGAAATAGTAGATTTCACAAGAATGTAATCTGCAGAGATTGTAGCGTTATTAGCCTTTTCAATTTGTTCAATGTTCCAATATTATATTGTAACGACAAAGTGTGTAAAAAACATTTTCTTTTTTGAAAAAACTATTTATTATATTACTGCTTGACTTAATATGTGATATTGTACAGTGAACTGAAATAGATTTTCTATTTGTCAGTTTTATGTTACCCAATAAATGGCATTTATAATCTAACTGCTTTAATTTTTTTTAACACTAAAATTGACCAGTGAGGTTCATCCAGATGTCACGTGTGAGGATGGATGTCACACCGACGGCATTGGTTGGGGTCGCGCTAAATCACGTGGCTGAACAGTATACGAGCCAGCTTGCCTTGTAACCGGAAGATCCTGGGTTCGAACCCTGGCGGTGGGTGCGTGCTGCCAATGGTTCCCAAACTAGGACTAAGGAAACAGCTGTCCAGTACTTCCTGGTTTCCAATGGTTCTCTAACTGATAACAGTCCGTGATCAACTCGTAAAAACAAAACTAACCCTTACAAACCAAACTATAAAAAACTAAAATATACCCAGTGTACTACCGGGTAGATTTTGTATGTGCAGGGCGGTACAGAAATGTTGGCTGGTCTTCTGAAAAGGAAATACACATTTAAAAGATTAGTTAATGAATAAAGAACATTCTTCTCGATTAATTCGTCATCAGGTTCTACATTTATATAAAGGTAGTAATTAAAGAATGATTGTTATTAACACCATCAATGTTTGAAATTACACTGATGTACCTAGGCTAGCCACATCTAATTGCATCTATCAGCTCAACTGACCATGTGAAGCTGATTATATCGCTCGTTGCCCTAGGAACCTAATTTTTAGTACTCGGGCACACCTATCAGTGTGGTTGAACAATGGTATCGTTAAAACCCTCAACAGTTATATATTCGATTACCTCGTACAAACAGGCAACAAAGCAAGTTGACGACTTTAAAGATTCTTTCTCTATCATCCATTGCGTATCGAATAAATTACCAAAGGCTTCCAGATAACGAATGCCTCAAGTGGCAAAGACTATTGTAATTCGCTTAAATCAAGTAGACGTCTGCGTGCAGGAGAAATTGGTCCAGCCTTCTGTCGAACCTGTAAATTCATAAATTCGTCATTACTTCCCTGAAGTTACCTGATATTCAGTCAGTTCAGTACTATATTAATGCTTATCACCTCTTCCTCTTACTGATGCTGTCGAAATGTAATCACCTATTGATACCATTGATTTAATGTACTTTGAAACAGCATTAATGGTGTTATCGATGACAATCATTCTTTAATTATTACTGTCATATGAATGATGATGAATTTATCAGGAATAATATTCTTTGTTCACTAACCAGTGTTTTTAATTGTTAATGGGCAGCTTAAATGAATTAAAAACACATTTCTTTATGCAGTAATAATGGTTTGCAAATACTGAAAGCGCATAAAGTTATCAGTTCAGAGACCGCCTACAGTGATATCAAAAGTTCACACTGAAGAGCACATGATTTTCTCAGTACAACCTTCAAAATTTTAGTTGTTTTTTGACCTAAACTATTGATGAAATGTGTACTATAACCCAATACGACCTGAAATTTGAAAGTATTCTGTTCCGGTTTTCCATGTAATGTATGAGCTTATCTAGGGAAGCGGGCTTTTATGCTTATTATCAGGATTGTGCATTATGGATTCCAAACCATTCATTCCTATAGCCTTTCGGGATTTCTACCCAATCCCAAGTCAACGACCAACTAGAATTCTAAAAGCAGCGAATAATTGGATTGGTAGCCAACCTTTTAACTGAGGAAAAATGCAAAACATTTAGGCACTTTTAATTGAAAGCATTAACTTCGCCATACGAATCTAAAACAACCAATAAAGGCTGTTAATAAAGCAGGATTCAATGAATTCATGAAATTCCGTTAGAACTCTTGAGCTGAATACTCTACATACAAGTATATATATATATATATATATATATATATATATACTAATGGAAATATATTAGGAGATATAAGATTGATAAGCAAATAAATTACATTGAATTAATCATGCAAAACGACATGTGTGAATGTTTTTCAGGTCATTTCCAAATAGATAAGAGGAAGGGAGAATGAGACATTAAAATTAAATGCATTACGCTTCAATTACATCACTTAGATAAACAACTGGTCATTAGAGAAAGAACTTAAACATTTGAGGAATTATGAATTGGGCAATATTAGTAGTAGTAGTTAATAATAAAAATAATAATGCTGAAACGAGTCAAGATAATGCTACTGATAAAAGATATTTCTTGAATAAATCAGGAATAATAATAGGAGGTAGAATAAACTGTCAATAATAATAATAAGTAAGACGTGTTACCATGGTAGATTCAGTGTGAAGACCACTTACTTTTGTACACAGAGACGTGGTTTATAAACTTGAATTTCACAAGCCTCTGCAATTGCAAACATTTTCCTGTTTCTTTGTCTGCTGTTAACAGTGAATGACTTGACAGCGTCAATATTGTGTCCGTAGTCCACAAGATGCTTCGTTATTGAACTTTTTGGCACTTTGAATTCAGCTGTTTTCAACCACTTTGGCAAATGCTCCATATGCGAGTAGACAATCGCCTTTCTGTATAACCTATGTATTTGCTTCCAAAAACATACTCAAACTGAGATACGCAGTTTGAAGTGTCGAGGAGTGGCGTCTGGTCTTTCCCAGATTGTTGAAGCACTCAATTGGTGGTCTTCGTTTGACTTCTTGTTGTACATCATCTCCTTTGAATGTCAAATTGATATAGACAGATTTCTTCGGAAATGTTTGGATAGTTTTACAAGGGATCATTTCTCCATAGTGTCTATTAATGAACTTCTCAGAATATGCATTGTTAGGAGTAAACATTTCTACCTCTGCAGAGATTGACTTAAAATATTAATTTTTAGTTCGGTGGCTTTCTGTCAACTTGCATTCATATACTACTTATAAATCTCGGTAGCACACACCACATAATCATTTCGTGATGCACCATTACAATCAATAGGCAAAACACTAACAGAAGGAGTGGATTAAACTGGTAAATATTTCACGCTATGCGCTAATTCCATATCAAAATATAACCATTGAAGTAGGAGATTCAAAGAGGTTTATTTATTTTGTTCCGTCAGCCTAACGATAATCAGAATAACATAATAAAAATGTAGTGCACGCTAATAAACAATCCATAAAATTGGGTTTAAAAAATAAAGCCCACTGCCGTCTGGTGAAATTCAAAGCAATTGATTCCATTTCTACAATAAAATATATTGCTGTTGAATATTTGATAACTTCAGGGTATATGACAGTATGAAACTATGAATTATTGAACCCCACTTTGTAGTAAAACAGAATGGTTTCAGAAACTCTCCCACAGTGGTTTCAGATATTTTCGTCAAATTCATATTATCGTATATTTTTTATTATTCATGCAAATGATCTAACACAGTTTCTCATTATCGAAAAACGCAAGCCTAGACACTCTAAGTGATCATTTCATATCCTTATGTTACAATTTTACTTCACCTTATAGTCGGGAATTCACTTTCATCTAATGTCGACAGACTGACGCACTCAATGCTCTGTATCAATTACTGTCTCCTCTTGAAACGAATCTTTCATTTGTGAATCTGTGTAGAATTTCACTTTTGCTGACAATAAGTAGGAGCACTACCTGTCTGTTTCACCTGCTTGTCTAGGCCACACTGCTTTCAGACAGTTACTGCGGTCGTAATGAACGCGGTGTAGTTAATGAGAAGACTGATTCGTATTTAAAACGTAATTTAATGTTGAAGTGTAACTTACGCATTGTAGGAGACGAGAAATCCATCTTGGATATTTGATTCAATCAGCTCTGGTTGACTAGTCGCTTCGATAGTCTTATCAAGGGTACACAGAATTCATTTAACATTGCGCAGCCTGCTTCATTTCTGACACCTGAATTACATCCGTCTACTGTGCCACAATTCATTCCGTCCTATTCCACAACTCGTGATAGAAATACAACTGTCGTTTGTCGTTCCTCGGATTTCGACTGGAACACAGGACATCAAGCTTTGTAGTCCCAGTAGGCTGTGGTGTTTTTTTTCCATGGTGTTACTAGCCTCACATGGAAACCACCCTGTTCTCTGGATAGTAAACTAGACAGCTCAGGAGTGAGTCGGACTCGTACTACGTGCGTCTTCGGCGAGCATTTCACCCCTATACCACTGACAAACAATACTTGGAGAAAGTACAAATCACAGAGCATGGGTGTCTTCAGTCATTTGTTTGAGTAAGACGGAGGAATATAGGTGCTAGTGATTACATTACAGTTGGTGTTAGGTAAGGTATGTAGGTAGTTAGATAGGAGGTCGTTAGGTCCGTTCATGAGGTTATGAAGTCTAATAGATTGATGTGACTGAAGCAAGTGTTAGTCACGTTGAGTTACCAACTTTTCTCACATACAATGTTATCTAAAAATTGCTATTAACTTGAAAAGTTGGTAAATGTAGTCATATCTGACCATCTAAATGATTAATTCTTATCTTCGACGTAATTTATTGATTTGAAACTTAAGAACACACCCATAGCTGTACACAACTGCCCTAAAAAAACTGATTGTCACTACAGCTAACGAATCACAGAAGTAATTAATGGGAAGAAAGGAATTAGAGAAAAGATCCACAGAGAAATAAAAACAGCAAACTAATAATAAGCTAAATGGTATGATGCCATGAATATGAATACATGGCCATTGTTGTTAGTTCAGGTAGAAAGTTAGAATTAGCAATATTATATATTGCATAATGGCCACACCCATTGCCGCACAAGTCAATTATGCAAGAAGAAAAACACCAGTTGGATTGGTTTATCACTCATAATCTCGACAATAAAAGTACACTGGCTTTATTCTTAAGGTTAATGATCAAAGATCAATAATTTTTTTATATATTTTGGACAAAGGAAGGGAGTGACTTTTAATACCTTCTACTTTGTATAACTGATCCTGAAAACTTATTGCTTTATGACATTACAAGTAGCCTGCTGCCTAAGACAATTGTTGTAGCTGATTCCAGGATTTTTTGAACTTTTTCCGTTGGCTGATACTCATAATTTTATTCGATCAGTTGTAATTTCCGTCATTAAGGTCAAAGCCTTACTGACAAATCATAGCATTTCGTGAGTTTCACAACAGTTTTAAACAGACACTGGTCAACAAGTCGTGTTCATAATTATGAAGGGACTGACACCCTTTTGAAAATCAGGACCTAAGCTATCCAGTGCTTGGGGGAATAAAAGATGCACAACTCCACCGTGAACATGCTGGATTTAGGGAAAGCAAATCATTTGAGGATCAGATTGCATTATTAAAGAACAAAGGATAGGTAATCGACAGCATAATAATTTTGAAAGTACTTTCAACAACACTTGCAACCGCTGGCTCCATACTAAAGATCAGATAGACGGCCAGAAAGAATTAGCAGCAAGAAACTGTGGGTAGAACCAATCAAGAAGCTATTGCTCAACAAATATCCCGGAGAAAATCAAGATGAAACGGAGACACGCTAAGGAGACCGTCGGATGACATCTCGCGTTAGCTAATCCATCGCTGATGTGGGACGCGAATGGGAAACAATGAGTAGGACATGGGTCCGAAGATGACATGGTGGAGACCGCATGGGGAGGAGATGAGACGGTAGTCATGGGGCTAGCCATAGAGGATTGCAGATGAAGTGAAGACATGAAGTCCTATATTCCACCAGAAACCAAAATAAACAATAAGAATAATAGTAATAATAATCTTCCACTGCTGAAGTCAGAGATGTTATCTCTAAGTAATTCTGGTTCACAATTTCTCTCCTGTAGGATTCTAATGAATGCGTTGAATGATCTGTAGGGAGTAACCGATGTCATCAATCAGTCATTCGTGTAAGTAGCGTTTTAATTATATCAATCGAGCGTGTAATGTGATCACCAGCGCAGCAACAATAATTATAAACAGTAGTAAATGCACCGGGTTCGAACCCCGGTGGTTGCGTACTACTGAAGAGTCCCACACTAGGACGAAACAACTGTCCAGTACTCCCTGTCAGCTCATGATGAAATCCTCCAGCCAATCAAACAAAAACCAATACAAAAATCATATCAATTATAAGATACCTTGGTACATTCTTCCATAAATTCATCTAATATACAACATATAGACTAAATTGAATAAGTGCGTTTAACGATGCACTTTTGTGTTAAATCACTTAATTTGAAATTGCACAGTGTTACAGTACTGATAATGAAATAACGTTTCGAGTTGAGCTAATTGCCTATAATTATATCGAAAAACCATAAAAACTTCTACAAGTTTCATGATTCTCGATTCTAATAAAGCTAATTGACAAATAAATCATTGAACAACTTTGTACAGAAGTACATTTTTCAATTTCCTACAAAGGCATCAAAGAAAAGAGTAGTAACATAATTTCAGAGGAATAGTGACATACTGAAAACTAGTGATACTTGAAATTCTTATGAAAAAAGAAGTGAGTGATTCTCACTGTGTACACTTTTCAGTCATTTTATCAGGGATTCGCAGCCAGTGATTTCTGACATCTTGTGGATCTCAGTTATATAATCTATTCCTAAACTCATAACGTGGAACAACTGACAGTGACTTCATGTTTTAATCTGACTACATTTACCAATTTTTCAAGATAATAGCAATTTTTAAATAACATTGTATGTGAGAAAAGGTGGTAACTCAGTGTGACTAACACTTGCTTCAGTCACATCAATCTATTGGACTTCATAACCTCATGAACGGACCTAACGACCTCCTATCTAACTACCTACATACCTTACCTAACACCAACTGTAATGTAATCCCTAGCAGCTATACTCCTCCGTCTTACTCAAACAAATGACTGAAGACACCCATGCTCTGTGATTTGTACTTTCTCCAAGTATTGTGTGTATCAGTGGTATAGGGGTGAAATGCTCGCCGAAGACGCACGTAGTACGAGTCCGACTCACTCCTGAGCTGTCTAGTTTACTATCCAGAGAACAGGGTGGTTTCCATGTGAGGCTAACAACATCATGGAAACAGCACCACAGCCTACTGGGACTACAAAGCTTGATGTCCTGTGTTCCAGTCGAAATCCGAGGAACGACAAACGACAGTTGTATTTCTATCACGAGTTGTGGAATAGGACGGAATGAATTGTGGCACAGTAGACGGATGTAATTCAGGTGTCAGAAATGTAGCAGATTGAGCAATGTTAAATGAATTCTGTGTACCCTTGATAAGACTATCGAAGCAACTAGTCAACCAGAGCTGATTGAATCAAATATCCAAGATGGATTTCTCGTCTCCTACAATGCGTAAGTTACACTTCAACATTAAATTACGTTTTAAATACGAATCAGTCTTCTCATTAACTACACCGCGTTCATTACGACAGCAGTAACTGTCTGAAAGCAGTGTGGCCTAGACAAGCAGGTGAAACAGACAGGTAGTTCTCCTAATTACTCTCAGCAAAAGTGAAATTCTACACAGATTCACAAATGAAAGATTGGTTTCAAGAGGAGACAGTAATTGATACAGAGCATTGAGTGCGTCAGTCTGTCAGCGTTAGAGGATAATCGATTCCTGATACATAATAAGACAGGTAAACATTCTAGGGAAAAGTTTTTTTCATCTGTTTTTTTATTTTGTGTCCGAAACTGCCAGCTGATAAATTCAAGATGATATAAGAAAGCATAGTGTAATCACTATATTTTGACGAATGTGAGAACAGCAGAATTAATTCGCAGTTATGATTATGTATTACTTAGTGACTGATTTCAGTAGCGAAAATGTTAACATAAAATAAATAAAGAAAGGGAACTAACAGAATATACAATGATAGAAATAAACCCGCGAAACAATGAAGATTCCGAAATGTACCAAAACATGAAACAAATGCGCACGTATGAAATAACAGAGATTTTCGTTAGGAAATTAAAACAATTTCAAGCGGCAAGCAAAGGGAAAAGGAGAGATGGAAAAACGCCGTAGAAGTAACAGAAAGAAATTGTGTTAAATGAAATAACAGGCGTTATTAGGACAAAGAAAGGAAGACCGTGGGAAACTCCATGACCGAAAAATAAAGGTGAAAAACAGAGAAGAGGAATCTAGAGCAAGAACTAAACAAAAAACAAAAAATTAGCCGCCAAAATGAGGAATCATCAGAAAAAATCTTATAAACGCTGGATAAAAACCGAGGAAGAACTGGAAAAGAGAACCAAGATAATTAGGGTGCATCGTAATTTTTTATCCAAGTACTGCAGAATAAGATAATCTGGACATACTAGCATCACCATCCATCAGCCACTTGGGCTGGTGCTCTAACGGTAGCGTGTAACCGCCTCTCATTAAATCTACTCCATCACGTTAAACACATACGAATGAATACCTGGTTTGCCATAATGGGAAAGAAAATTTTTTGTAGGACTCATCGTATTGGTAGTAACTGGGTGTGTAAGAGGAAACTCGCAAAGACATTACTAATCGTATAGCGTAACTAAACAACCTACCAATTAAGGTCCAGTTGAGTAATCAGCTTTTCGAATCACCCTAAATCCACAACGTAAAGCCACACTTAATGGATGTCGAATTCCCACATAATTGAGGTATGAATGAATTTCGTAGACTCAATATACCCAATGACCGAGATTATCTTGATGGCCGGGCTTCAGTTATGTATAGGTGTCTCACAGTGTATGTGCAGAATTCAAAGGATCGGCTTAAATTAGAGTCCTTTCTTTACATTTCACCTCTTGTATGCACACTGAAGGATCAAATATGTAGTTCGGGATTTTGTAGCCTGAAGCAAATAACTTTCAGATTCATACCGAAAAAAACCGTTGACTACTGACTGGACAAACACCATGATCTATTTCGCCCTTTATCTCTCAATCAAACTACAGATGAGAAAACAGTCACCTACACACTTCATTCAATTTGAATACGAAGAAATGAGTTGAGCAGCTTCAAGACTAACGATAATTACACACTCGATAGATAAAAGTTAGTCTTCACAGGTACAGCCCATTGAGTTTACCACTTAAATCTCAACCAGTAGATTCTTGGTTAGAATCCAGCTCCACACTGGGCATTTTGTTTTATCAGCCATTACACAATAATTATGGGTTATAACCCGCCTCCCTGAAAGATGAAACACTTTTCAGCTCGCATACACGTATCTTCACAACAAACTTATTCTACCTGTTCAAGTAGTCTCCTCCAAAAAAATAATAATAATCAATATTGATGACAAAAGTTCACTCTCAATGTAAATTAACTTCTACAAAGAGTGTTGTCTTCAAAAACAAGAATTTAATACTTCAACAACTCAAGGTATATCGGTATAATTTTTAATCAAGTAAATAAACATAACATCATAACATTGTATAAGTTCATTTGTCTGTAGTTAGAATGAAAACACTAACAACTTGCATGATACTCTCGTAATAAGTCCATAGGAGGTATATTCGTCTCCAGATGTATGTAGTATAAATGTCTGATTATACGGAATGCAGTTAGATTAGCATAAGGTGTTAAAGTTAACGGATCTACATAACGAGCAGGTAGACCAGTGATTGGACAAATTCGTGGACGACGTTCCGGACGTACAGGACAGGGAGCAGGACAACCTGGTCTCGGCAGTGGAGTAGTTGTCGCAGGCATTGATTGACGGAAACACTCATCATTTGCAAATGTTATAAAATTCCTATAAGCTTTGGCTTGAGGATGCGTGATCATCGGAGCAGCTTTTGCGGGTGATCTGGTGAAAGGAATTGAATTAAAAGAAGAAGATAATGGTTGTTAAATTTATAATGGATATTTCATTTGCAATTCTAGTATCACTTCAATAATGTATACAGTTGTTCAAGTAGTCCTTAACTATTAATGTTACAATAATTCCAACTATGGTGGATTGTTTTTAAAATTTATTTGGCCACAAAGCCAGCAGTGAAGAATCCTTCTCTATCATCTACTGGGTACCATACAAGTTGCCAAAAACATCGAGGTACCGCATGCTTCCAACAGCAGAGGCAATAGAGATTCGCGTGAAACAACCAGTGCTTTGTGTGCAGAAGAAACAAGTCCAGCCACTACTACTGCCCTAACCAGTCTTCAGTAGAGACTATAAACTCATGAATTTGTATTATTATCTTTCCCAATTTTTCTGATATTCAGTGTGTATTGTTATGTTGATGCTATTGAACTGTAATCCACTGATATTATTATTATTGTTGATTCGATGTTATTTAAACAACATTAATGTTGTTCATAACACCAATTCATTCACTATTATGCATATATATAACTGTAGAACCTGATGAAGAAGGGGTTATCGAAAAGAATATTCTTTGTTCAGTAACCATTCTTTTGAAAATGAATATTTATTAAATTAGGTGTTCAAGATATATTGAACAAACTCTTAGGTATGAAAAAAAGCCACATAGTAGGACTAATTGTATACTTTTAAAGCCTGAATCCATCAAAAGATGCCGACAGACAATGTAGTGGTGAGATACAGACTAAGTTTAATGGAAACCAAAATCACAAGCTCAGTGATTGGTTAAAGAATATAAAACTGTATATTATATAAATAGCGCTTTGATCAATTGAAAATATACATTTGCTTCGTGTCTAGTCTGCTGCTGTTGCAATAGTATTTACCATTCAAAGTGTCACTTTGAGGAAGCGCAAATTGCTAGTTTGATCAATTACTTCCATTCGTGACAACATATGGTTCGAGTTTGGTTCTTTGTTGCCAATCCTTTCTGAATTTCTGATCTTCTGTATGGAGCCAGTAAAGGCAGCTGTTGATAAAAGTTTGCATTAGCCTGTCGGAAATGCTTTCCGTGACACGCCGGCCAAATCTCTGACCCGTATAGAGGAACTGAATCACTTACCATTGGTGTTCAGAATCCGGATCTTATTCTTTGCGATGAGTGAAGATTTCCAAACTACTTTATTTCATTTATTTATTTAAACGCAGAAAAAAACTCGGTACAATATGGCACCAAGAAAGATGCGCCACACAGTAATAAAACAACATAGATCAAAAGTAAAAAATATAAGTAGAGGACAGATAACTTCATCTGGAAGGAAAAATCATACTTAACAAGTTCAAACAGTATTCGTCAACTATCATCGGGAAGGGAAGAAAGAAGGAAATTGCAACACGTTCGCCATTGATTACGATTCTTGGCCATATCCGATAACGTTTCGAGCCATTGATTCGGGCTATCTTGCGGAACCCAACCAGGGAGTCGTGACACACCAACCGATGCTAATCTAGCACAAATACCCTTCATCCCACGACGTCACGTCATGGACTGACCACCCCTCCGCATGTTTCATCCCGTCCCAGGGCTAGCGAACAGAGACCTGTACGGAAGCCTCTGGGATGACATTCGTAGCACATGTCCAAGCCATCGAAGCCGGTGTTTCCAGATGACGACACTCAGTGAATGGTGATCTCCACTGTGTCCAAGCACACTGCCGCACCTCAAAATTACTGGCAAGATGATGCCATCGAATGCAAGCAATTCTATAGAGACAACGATGATTGAACACGCAGAGTCGCCGCACATCCTCAGCTCGGAGAGGCCAGGTTTCACAGACGCAGAGCAAGACAGCCCGCACCGAAGCATTGTACATCCGACCTTTGACAGTCAGGCTAACGTCACAACGGCTCCAGAGGTGGCTCAAGTTGATGTATGCCACCCTAGCCTTCATTATACGGTTGGAAATCTCATCCGTCACCCCTCCGCCAGCACTCACACAACTACCCAGATACACAAACTTATCAACAACTTCAAGCGGTTCACCCGCAAGAGTGAGTGCAGGTACAGGCTCCTGCCAATCTTGTAACAGTACTTTGCACTTAGACGGCGCAAAGCACATACCATACTTACAGACACTGATCGCCAACTGATTAAGTGCGATTTGGGCAGCCTGAATGCTATCGCACAGTAAGACGATATCGTCTGCATACTCGAGGTCGAAAAGTCTATTTCCAGGTAGCAGATCTACACCACCTTCACGCACATCCTTCAGAGCTGACTCCAGAATGTCATCGATGGCAAAGTTAAAGGGAAATGCAGAGATTGGGCAAACTGATTTTAGAGTGATGAAGGCTTGACTTGCCTTTCCGATTCTGGTTTCATTATCCGCATCCATGCCGCCGCCGCCTGTAGTTGAAATGGTGTTACCTAGATAAGTTAAAGAGGTGACTGCCTTTAAATTTCTCCTATTGATAGTGATTAGTGTTTGTTTTTGTTGTTGCTTGGTTATCTTCATCGCCTCCGTATTTTCTATGTTCACTTAAAGTCCTGTCTTTGCTGTCTGCCTCTTCTGTCAGTCTATTGGTTTTCGTCTGTAAGTCTTCCAGTTTATGTGACATCAGACATAAATTGTCCGCAAAATCTACTTCTTGTAGAGTCCTCTAGTCGGTTCGACACATTCCTGTCTTCTCACTCCCCCGCCCCCCGCACACTGTATTCCGCATATTCCAGTCCACCACAATTAGGAGGATTATCGGTGATAGTAGGCAGTCTTGTCTCACTCCGCTGAGTTTTCTGTTGTGGATCACTGGACATGTGGCATTTTCATCATTCGAATTCATTCGAGTTTTATAGGAGGTTCTTTTTGTCATTCGATTTCTTAGTGTTATACCAACAGCCTTATGTCATACTGGCCCCATATTGCGCGTCGTTATTGGACGCTTGGAAAATAAATTAACATATGATATGAGATTTCATCATATTTAAATAATACCTATTTGAGAATAATTTCCATATAAGCCTACAGCAGTACTCGTAAACTACTACCATTCGTCCATGGAAATTTGTTCACAGAATAAATGCATCTTGTACAACACTAAATTTGACAAAAATGTACTTGAAACCCCGTGTGGTAGGAGAAGGTGAAGAGACTGTGATCACATCAATAGGGACTGAGGAGTTAGTTATTCCGGTAAAACTATCAGTTAGGACGGCACAAGTATTCTGTCAGACAGTAACACAGATAAGGTTATATTAACTGAACCTTATATATATCACAAATTATTATTATACTGACTGACTATATAATATTCATGAATAATAATTTTCTAGATTTCCTCTTGTATTACACATACCCAAGAACATCGAGTGATACACCATATACATTGTATTGATCTTCAATTAATGGAACAGTGACTGAATGATAACGAATCATTGGTGTGCAATTAACTGTTTTTAGAACACGTGCCTTCTTTTTCTCGATCTCCAGACGCTGATATCGAGCTATTTAGACATAAATAAGAGAACAAATAAAAGTAGAGAAAATGAATTATATATATATACATGCATTTACATGTATGTAGTAGCTGAACAACTTACCTTTTCAAGAGTTAGTTTACAGTTCTGATCACGCATTGATATCAGTTAGCGAACCACTGAAAACTAAGGAGTACTGGATAGCTATTCCATCCTTGTTTAGGACTGATCATGAGTACACACCCAGGGATCGAACCCAGGAAATTCCGGCTACAAGGTCAGCTCGTAGACCATCCAACTGCTGGAACCAGACTCAATGGTCAGTCGATGAATTCTAACTTGTACCACAATTCGTGATTTTAGCGCGACCACCAGCTAATGTCATCCTGTGGCGAGTATTTGTCCTTACTCCCGAACAGGTGAATCTCACACTGGTCACTACTTGTCCCTAGAACTCCAGGAAACTTCGTCCGGTAGCCAGTTACTAGAGAGCGACAAACTAATTTTCATGAGCTAGTTTGTAGAAATTCGATTTGTCTCGCGCTAAATTTACGAATTGTAGTAGAAGTTAGAATTCGCGGACTGCCCACTGAGTCGCGTCTCGGTAGCCAAATGGTCTAAGAGCTCGTCTTGTAACCGGAAGATCCCGGGTTCAAAATCCGGTGGGTTGGTGGGTGCGTGCTAATGAAGAGCCCCGGTTTGGGACGAAACAGCTTCCCAGTACTTCATAGTTTTTAATGGTTCTCTAACTGATATCAATCCATGGTCAAAACCGAAACTCACCTTTTAAGTTATTCTACTTTAAAACAACACCCCACACACAGACACAACACGGGGAACAGTAAATGGAAATGGATGTTAGGGACAAAAAACAAATAAATGAACACCAGAGAAAACGTTGAAAAAAAATTTAATGATGTAATGGTGAGTAATTTTCAGATTTTATCCACACAAGAACCATTGATTCCTAATATTTCAATCAATCCAATTAACGAAATAAAACACTGTATCAACAGTATATAAAATTATTAATAAAACTCTTGGGCAAGATAAGAGTTTAAATGTGCCAATATTAAGATGAAGAAAAAAAACTACCTAAAGAACGCCGATTAATTTCTTCTGTAATCTTAGCTTCAGCTAGCAATTCTTCCTGTGTTAAACGTCGAACTTCAGGAAGATTTTTGCGTCTTGCGATTTCTGCCAAAAAGGCTTTCCGACGAATAGGCGTAATCCCATTACTTATTACTGGTTTACGTGTTCCTTGTGCTTCTTGCTTATCAGTTGCTACTTGCTTAGCAGTTGCTTCTTGCTTAGCAGTTGCTTCTTGCTTAGCAGTTGCTTTTTTAGTACTTGAACGTAATGTAGGCTTCACTAGAATTATCAGAGATAAAAACAAAACAACAAAAAAACGACATGTAGTACATTCAAATGGAAAACACACGAGAGCCAAGTTAAACTTCAAGCACCAGTAAGTATCGACAAAGTGGGCGACCGCATCAATGACTTTGCAACGCTCGGTTAACAAGTTAGTGAAACCAGGCAGGTAGCATTATATGTAATAAATCATGAGTAAAATATGCTCGATGAACTGCTCTGATGTTAAACGGGATATCTGGTAAGTTTTCGTTAGGTTTGCGCAAAGGACAGGTTAGGGTTAGGTTAAGCTGATAGGGGGGAAATTACGGTTGGTTCCAGTTAGACTAGGAGTTAGGATGAAGATTAGAAGACCTCGATGAATACATGTATAGAGAATGTTGAATAATTACTACACTGATACTTCAATCCAAGGCTGAGAGACATTTCTGTCACAGATCAGAGAAAGGTATCTTGTGTAACACTTGCACGCCTCCTTTTGACTTATTATTTTCATAAATATATGCATTTTAGGCAGAAAAATCGCGTTTTTGTTCCGACTGGTCATTCTCATCCACTGCTTCATTTTGATGCTTAAAGCGTAAACTTCACCCACGAGAATCACTAACAGTTGATATAGTAATGTAATTTAATGTAAATAAGTGAAATGAAACTTTAGAAAAGGTTATTTTAGCTCAGATTTAACATTTGTTTAGTTCACTATATATCATCAGATGATTTCAAAAAGAATATATAGATTGTATAAATCAACTCACAAAGGTTGTAATTTTCTTTATATTAGAAAGCAATGAAAGAGGCCAACCTAAAGAATAGTCACAGCACGGAGTACGAATGCACTAATCAACTTGAGAGTATATCATTCGTTGGATTACAAAAGTCTACTATTAATTACAGCGCCACTATGAACACTGTGCATGAAGTGAGGCGTAAATTTCATCCTGATCTCATTATTAAGTACTGTTTGGACAATGGGCGGCTGATAGCACATTGCGGTTAGATTGTTTTATTATTATTGCCTATATTTTTATAGTCAATAAATGTGTGGAAGGAGAGTATTTCTTTGTTCACAAAGACGAAACCGTGTTGGTTGTTATGAGACTTGAAAACTGATACCCTTCATTGTAACTGGGAATTATTTTTCAGTCGCGTCAGAGTAAAACATCGTCTTTAGTGTTTTATTACTATTATTATTATTATGTCAAATTTTTTTTAAACCAAACTTATGCTTGCATCGAAAATGCCGCCTATGGCTCGAATCCCACTCCGCCTACTTCGGATCGACCCACTGGGTAGTAGTATCATCACAGTCTGATACACGGAAAGTGTCAACCGCGTAAATAAGATTTTATTTTTTTTCAAATTCTGCTTACCAAAAACAGCAGTATCCGGAGTTTTCTTTGATACTGTTGGCTTTTGTTTATCTTTAACTGCTGAAGTAGGTTTACTCTGAGGCTCTTTTGAAGTTTTTGCACCAGTCTTTTTTTTAGCTGAGTTTTTCGCCTGACGTTTTGTAGTTTTGGCACGTTTAGGCTCCTGTAGGTTTTTAAGTTAAAAAAAATGTACTGATCATATTCTCATTAGTAATAAATAGCATTGAAGAAGGAATACTCTGGATCCAACAACTTCTGTTTCGGTTACACAAAACATGATATAACTAATTTAACTACCTAACTGTTTGGTCATACTGACAAGTGATCATCACCTTTATAGATTTATCTCTTAATATACGTGAATATCAATCGTTGAAATGAGCTGTTAAAACATACAATCAGTTACGGTAATATTCAATAACAATGAAATATTTTATCATTGAACTAAAAGACTAGGAATGGTACTCGTAAAAAATAAGTGTCGAGTGAGATAATTAATTATAGAGAAAAGATGAGTATTTTCCACAATTTGGGATAATTATGTTTAATTATTAAGTGTCGGTTTGCAGGGATTTGACTGGTTACAGGTTTGGTCACGAGTTGACATCGGTTAGAAAAGCATTGGAAAACCTGGGAATACTGGACAGCTTTTACGTCCTGATTTACAACTCTTCATCGTGACGCACCCAATGGGTTTCGAGCCTAGGACGTTTAGGTTACGAGGCAAACTCGCAGACCATTCAGCCACTGGGACCCGCCAATCCAATGGCCAGTCCATGAATTCTAACTTCTACTAATTCGTGATTTACCGCGACCACCAACCAATGTCATCGGTGGGACATCCATCCTCACACGTGACATCTGGATGGACTTAACTGGTCACGCCTTCTCACTAGAAGTCGATGATTCCTAAACTAGGAGGAAACAGCAGCTGTCCAGTACTCCCTGGTGGTTTTCAATGGTCCTCTAACTGATAACAGTCCGTGGTCAACTCGTAGAAACGTTTACATTTTGAATGAGCCACAGATTCATTCATCGTGTTCATACTAAACTGTATAAAATATTATTTGGGGGAAAAAAGTCAGTTTAAGAGTAATACAATACACCAAGATTGTATTAAATTATAGCAGAAGTATTGAAAGTTTGTTAAACCATTAAATGTTCCGGAATAAAAGCTTTTTCTTTTCTCACCCACAAACATGCAGAGAACCAATTCTCAGACTTACAATCAGAAAAGAAAAAAAATAACCTACAGTAGACCTTATACAATTCAATCTAAAAGCTCGAGATCTGATGCTAAAACTCTGAATAAGCCACAAAATAAATGCTTATTGATCATGTAGTAAATGCATATATAACTGATCACGTAATAGTAGATAAAACTATTCTAAAATATTCTTATATTACAACGACAAGCGGAGATCATTCAATCACTACTACCGCTTTACCAACTAAAACGAATCTATGAAGGTAATAAGCCACAAGTTTGAACTACATCAAACTTGCTAAATTTCAGGCAGTTAAATACTAATAACAGCTGTAAAACAACACAGTTTCGCTTTATTATCAAATGCGCAAACATAAGCTACATTGCCATACCATACTATCCTGAAATCAGATGATAGGCAAAAAGTTTGAAAAACGTAAGGTCAGGCGGAATTTGAATTAGCAACACTCGCCACTCTTACAACACTAAACTCCGGCGAGCAACAAAACTGAAAGCTACTCTAAGGTCAAAGAAGTAGTGTTAAGCAGTAAGACTCAACACATGCCCACGCATACACAGAACGATTGATTAATCATGCAAGGCTCATGCAAAGTAGCATGTTAAAAATACCAATGAATGGTTAATTTGATTCGTTCGATAGTGAACCACTGATATGTGGATGTTGATTCTGGTACGATTTTGAGACATTTCATAATTACGAGTTGATCACGGATTGATATCAGTTAGAGAACCATTGAAAACCATGGAGTACTGGACAGCTGCTGTTTCATCCTAGTTTGGGAACCATTGGCAGTATGCACCCACTGGGATTCGAACCCAGGACCTTCCGGTTACAAGGCAAGCTTGTATACCATTCAGCCACTGGGACCCGATTCAATGGCCAGTGCATGAATTCTAGCTTCTACCAATTCGTGATTTACCGCGACCCCAAACATTGTCGTTGGTGGGACATCCATCCACACACGTGACATCTAATTGGACCTCACTGGTCACGACTTCTCACTAGAACTCCAGGAAACTCCATCCTGTAGCAAGTCACTAGCGAGCATCAGATTAATTTTCTATAGTTTGGTTTGTGAGGGTTAGTTATGTTTTTACGAGTTGATCCCAAACTAGGATGAAACAGCAGCTGTCCAATACTCCCTGGTTTTCAATGGTTTTCTAACTGATATCAATCCGTGATCAACTTGTAAAAACATAACTAACCCTTACAAACCAAACTGAAGAAAATTTCCTAATTAGAAGTAGATATAAAAAACAAACAGCGCATTGTTAGTATTTAGTCCCGACGTTGAATAAAGTGACTAAATTTTACATGGAAAATGCACAGCCATCTTTGCATTGAATTAACAACGTAGAGCTTTGGCCGAAATTGTATCACAATTCGCCTTGCTCCATTTTTAGAAAGTACACAAAGGTAGACGAAAGAAATGCAATGCAACTAAAATAAGCGGGATTGTACAACTAAAATAACAATTAGATGATTAGTAAGGATTTAGGGAAGCTGCAATATCATAAGGAGTGAATACTTACGCTCCATTATGAGAGATTTTTAAAAGTTTTGCTTCTAAATGCAAAATATCAACAACAAGGACTACAAAGAAATGTGTGTGTGTGCATATTCAACTTTCATGATGGCATTGGTACTGTGTAACAAAGTTCACAGTACTTGACAACTTAAATATGTTTCGTATGTAAAGCCGAATTACAAAACTTCATGACAAGCCGAGTTTTACTCTTGATTTCCACTAGTGTGAATGCACAAACAATACAGATAATATCACGGAAAACAAAAGTGAAAGCAGTGTGATTAATCTTCACATAATACCACAACAAATCAATAAAGGTAAAGTAAATAAAAAATATATATTAAGATTTAGTTAAAGTGAGGTATGATTGTATTTGTGTTCTAAGAAACCGACACAATAACTTTAAAATGAGCTATTAACAACAAGGTGAAATCGAATAAAATAGATGAACCATCTTAAAACACTTTAATGTTTTTTATAAATATACAACTATAGCTTATTACTTTAAGTATGTAACTTTCGAATCATAAAGCGCTATACACCGTTGAACCGTGCTCCAGTTACAAAGTCTTAAAAACGGCCGAATAATATTGTTATCACTAACACAATAAATGATTTAGTTTACGGCACAGATTTGTTTCATAAAATAAGGGATTTATGTAGCAGAGTAAATTGTGCAGAAAAAAAGATAAATGATAAAACACTGTAGATACAATTTAATTAATTAATTCATTAAACTACCAGGCATTTGAAAAATACATACCTTGTAGCCTCTGGTTATAACTCGATTACCTTTACGTTTTCTTTTACGCCCATCTTCCTCTTCTTCCAACGCTGCTGCTGCTGCTGCTGCGCTATCTTCTTCACTTTCACTGGGATCGAGGAAATCAGAATCAACAACATCTTCAACAGAACTCTCCGACATATAATCTTCATCTTCGTCTTCCTTTAAATAACGTATAAAGTCAATAATAATCTTTTTTAAAAACTGAGAGTGATTTAGTCAGTAGACTACGCTAGGAGTTAGGTATGAAATAATCCTGCACAATAACAATAAGTAATAAGGACAAATTTATTTTAATAGATAGGGAAGTTTGGTAGTGTTATAAGCAAATCACCATATTTATGTGAGTTATGGATTTCACATGACAATAGCTGTATTTACACCTACTAAATCTTTGAAGTACCAGACTGAGTCACAATTAAGGTTAGCTAACAACCCTCCAAGTGGTAGAGATAGATGGACATTGCCCACATCTGCAAGGCGCTATACAAATGGCGACTGAAGCCGCTTGAAGCTTAAAAGAATACTCCGCTAAAAACCACTAGGTTCCCGCAAGTTCCTTACAATTCCTGGATGAGTGCCGGTCCATTCTAGCTGACAGAGAGTACAACACACGAAGGGCACTTACGCGCAAGTTAAAAGTGTTTACGTAAGAACAACGAAGCCTGATGGTCAGAACGTGCATGTGAGATGGAACCAGCAGCTGCATATGGCGATAACCAGGAGCTGTACCAACTCATCCGAGCCACCGACAGCAAAAGGCATGGTGTCAGCGAGACGGTCTGTGAGACAGATGGTACGCCAATTACCAGCCTAAAAAGATGTCTGAAACGCTGAGGAGAGCACTACGTGAAGCAGTTTAGTTGGCCATCAGCTGTAGCATCCAGCACCACATCACCAGTTACAGTGCTCCTTGGTCAGTCAACACGGACCCACCAATCAAAGCGGAAGTTCAAAAGGAACTCCAAGTGTTGAAGCGCCATAAGGCACCCGGTTCAGACGATCTACCCCAGGTCTCTCTAAAGATGGTGGCGAGATTTTCATCATGACTTTGACTGGATGGTTCAGGAAAGTATGGGAAAGTTAGGATGTCCTATCAATGTGGAATGAAGCCATCATCGTCTCCATCTTTAAAAACGGCCAACGTAACAAGTACAAAAACCATAGGGATTTTAGTTTGCTACCAGTCGCACCTAAAATATTGGTTGCTGTTTTGCTTCGCAAGCTGTGCGAAACACGTAAGGATTTGATTCGCGAAGAGCAAGCTGGGTTTCGTTCAGGCTGTAGGTGTACTCATCATGGGTTCACCCGTCGTCAGTTGTTGGAACACCGTCGCACGTATTGCAGGCCACTATGTTTCTTGGTATCAGGTACTCCTGATTCGATTCGTTGGACACAACTCTCCGGAACCGTCAGTTAGAGAAGGGTGTATCTCACAAGCTTGTTAACATCCTGGAAGCCCTATATATAAATATGTCAGGTAAAATGAGGGCATACAACCCACTATCACAACTGTTCCCAACCAACAGTGGGACTAGACCGGGTTGCCCAATCTCCTCATTTCTCTTTAACTTTGGCATGAATGACATTCTGGAGTGGGCTCTGAAGGACGTGGGTGGTGGTGAGGGTCGTGTAGATTTGTTTCCTGGAGAAAGACTTCGACCTCGTGTATGCGGACGATATCATCTTACTGTGCGATAGCATTCAGGTTGCCCAAATCCCACTTAATCAGTTGGCGATCAGTGCCTGTAAGTATGGTAGTCCTTAGCCCCAACAAAGTGCAAAGGACTGTTACAAGATTGGAGGGGGCTGTACCTGCATTCACCCTTGCAGGTGAACCGTATGAGGCTGTCGATAAGTTCATGTATCTGAGTAGTTGTGTGAGTGCTGGCCGAGGTGTGACAGACAAGATTTCTAACCGTATAGTGAAAGCTAGGGTGGTATACGCCAATTCGACCCACCTCTAGAGCTGTCACGACGTCAGCCTGGCTGTCACAGGTCAGGTTTACAGTGCTTCCATGCGCATACTCTTGCTCTGTGCCTGTGAAACTTGGCCTTTCCCAGCTGAGGATGTGTGGCAATTCTGTGTATTCGATCATCTCTGTCTCTATAGAATTGCTTGCATTCGATGGCATCATCTTGCCAGTAATTTTAAGGTGCGGCAGCGTGTTTCGACACAGTGGATATCACCATGAGACTGGATGGAAAAGGCGCAGAAAAGGTCAGTCTATGTTGTGGTGTTGTGGGATAAAGGACATCTGTGTTAAGTCAGAATCGTTTGGCATATCACTCTCCAGTTGGGGTTCGATAGTCAGAATCGGTGGTTCGAAATTATCAAATATGAACAAGAGATGAAACCAGTGGCGAGCAGGCTGAAATTGATCGGGTCTCACTGGTTGCCAAAGCAGTGACAATCCGCCCCGTGGCTATGAATAAACGATGATTCCTGGATTTCTACTTGGCACAATAGATGCTACTCTTACAGAATTTACTAAGTATGCTTGTTGAAAGCAAAGCTCATATCTTCGAAATGAGAGACACTAAACAGTATACTATAGTACTAAGCCAACTATCTTAACAGTGGGATTACGAAAGTGGTCTTATCTGCCAAGTGATAAGTACTAGATGATGAAATACTGAAAACTATCCCTTAGTTCTCGAGTGGAACCTCCACCTCCATTTTTCCTTTTCTTTGAGGTCCTCTTTAGCTGGCTCCAAGATCGTCCATATGTTCTAGTCTCCTTATATGACAAACTCTGTAAACTACGTGGAAGAACTGACGCGACATAAGTGTTGACAATCCCAATTTTGCCCCCTATGATAAGCGCAGTAGATTTTCATACTGATTTTAGAGTAATAAATATCTGCCTCACCTTTCTGATACTGGCTTTGATATCCTCATCTGTGCCATCTGTAGTTGATACAATGCTGCTTACATAAGTGACAGTGACCTCTTTCAAATTTCTCCTGTAGACAATGATTGGTTCTTGTTGTTTTTGGTTAGGTATCCTTATCACCTCTGTCTTCCCTATGTTCACTTGAAATCCTGACTTCGTTATCTGTTTATTCTGATTTGTTACCTTCGAGTTTGTGTGACATCAGACACAAACTGTCTTTAGCATACTTTTATAAATCAAACTAATCTAATCCAAATACTGCTACACGGTATCTCTAAGCCCTTAATAATGCATTAAAATATCTTAATCATATCTCAAAAGAGCAGTTTGCTTAAAGTCAAAAGAGCAAGAGGATTTTAAGTTAGTGAGAAAATGTAACGCATACCTCTTTAAATCCACCATATATGTTAGAATAAAATTCATCTTCTTCCTCTTCATTCAATAAACGAGCCATTCGTGACCCAGCATTGGCCCGTCGTTTTCGATCTGTTGAAATTGGCATTTTGACTACAGACAGAGAAATAAGAAAGAGATAAAGAAAGAGAATGAAAGGAAATTACCAAGGGAAAACCATTATGTGAGTACTTGTAGTGAGTTAACTATCGTATCATTTAACTCTAAACCTCAGTTAAATATAAACTGCTGATCGCAGTGAAACATACAAGAGGACTTCTTTAAAAGAATCCTGTGGATAGAAAGATTTCAAACTGCACTTATTGTAAGACTAAAATATCAAAAACTGTCATTTCTGACTTAGTCAGCATATAACGCAGGAATACAAAGAATGAAGCGTTATTAATTACCAACTAAACAATATTACTCAAACTTAACCTTGGAAACAGAACTTTAAATCCACCTCACAACCTGAGATGTTTAGACAGTTGTCAGGTTAGTGAGCTACTCTTATTTGTGGCACTCACCACCTTGCTATGGCTCTCCTTCGTTATGATAAGTATGAACGACTCTAGACCCACTCCACATACTGCTCCCAACTGAATAACACAATGTACATGAGATTCAGCAGATCATTTTAACTGGAATTAACGATTATTTCCAAAATAGATGCCTTTCTTCAAGTTAATCGATAAAACTAACACTACATAAACAATTAGTTATATTGTGGGACCGCGAACTAAAGTTAAACAAGCAACCTCAGAAAGCCTAAACATTAACTTTGTGATATATGAAACCACTCAAGAATATATTTAAAGCGAATAAGAAAAATTTCTCATGATATCAAATAAGAACAGAATGTACATAAATAATTTATATTTCTACATATCAATCAAAGTAAAGCAAGTCAATACTCAGCTAACTGCTACATTCACTGAGTAACAAAAAATAAGAACAATCTTAGAATTTTATTTCGACCCAACGCGTGTTCTCTTGTTCCATGAGAAATTAGATCCATAGGACTTAACGTTTAACTTTGGAACATTTGGTCTTTCTACGTAACACGGCCACCCTTGTCGCTGACAAAATTCTTCCGCAGCTTCAGCAGTTTCGAATTCAACAACTGTATTTGAAAGTGGATCACCAGAACTAGCCCATCCCATTAATGCGTTTTCCCAGCGTTCACGGTTATCAAATTCGATACGCCAAAGTCTGGTTCCATGATTTCCTGATTGGGTAGCCGGTTTAGCTGGTATGAAAATTCTCACCCGTCTTTCAGACTGATGTTCTTCTGGGACTCCAGTCACTAACGTCAAGTCATCCTTCTCTGGGACCATTATACGATCATCTTTAGAAAACTCCTCGGATTTTTTCATGATATTTTGTGCCTGTTGGGATGAAAGAGTTAGGAACAACTTTGTAAGATAATGCACCAATCCGTGTGACAAAAACAAAGTGTTACTACATAAAATACCATAACACGCAACCAAGGTAGTTATAGTCTTATTCCATTAATCGTTTTAATCTTAATAAAAGTCTATTAATCTTCATCGCTTTCGGGTCATAAATGTACTCAATTGTTCCACCATTTTGCACGCACTAGGAAAGTAGTCTTACACATTACTAAGAAGATAAACCAAAACCATTCCGAATGTTAAAGGTAACCCCTAGACCCACGTTTAAGCATCAAAGAACTAGTTCTTCACTAAAATGTCACAAATATGAACATGAACACAGATCAAAAAGTGAATACATAAACGCCATTATTTGTATTTTGATTAAACATAAAGGCTTTTCAAAAATAACTGTTTATTTTATGACATATAAACGAAATATTTTACAGACCAGAGTTAGTGATCACTGATTTAAAGACTCACAAACTAATTAATACGTCCAGAGTATCCCCTTCTACCACTTAGAAAGATTGAACATGCAAGGAGTTGCTTTACTTTTGAGGTTAGTTCGTATGTTTGTTATGCGTTTCCAATCATCTCATTACGACAGAAAGATTACATATAATGAAAAAAACTGAATCCAAAACAAATCACTAACTTAGATCTATTTAACTCGATTAATTTCTTCATTTAAACATTCACTTTTGGCACAGAATTACATACATCTTTGGGTATATTGAAGACATTTGTGTGCACAAAGACCCAATGTGTAAGAAAATGACTATATATATAATACATTTCTCTAACTAGGTTTGTAGTAAAAGAAGAAAAATTACTGGGAAAATGATTACGATCTTAGTATAAACCGAAGTGTTCCCTCCAAAACACCTTAGGAACTTAACATAGTTACAGGTATAGTAAGGGACTTTTAAGCTTATGTAGCATGGTGTCTACCAACTCTAAGTCCCATGTCTAACTTTTGAACACGGCCAAACACATCTTAGTTTTTAGGCCTTGCCCCTTTTTAATGAACAATACTACTTAAACAATAATGCAAAGGGTAACTAACTTCTTCAGTTGAGTCGGCTACTCTCGTCCGATGCCATGCATCATCCTCCTCATACATCGCTTTCCGCAATTCAAGAGTGATTTTTGCCGGTATTGCTTTACTAACTCTCCATCTAACAGGATTTAAGAACACTTCACAAACAGGAAGGCCCTTAAGACATTTAGCAACAAACATCTTGACGGTGAGTACCGTCTAACTCATAAAATACACTTCCAATATCCAATATTGTCTTTTAAGCTAGTATAAACAAATTGTTTTCACCGAGTTCCTGCCTTTATGGTGGAGCAGCGGCTCTTGATCGTCGATAGCTTTATGTATCTCGTCAATCCCCTCCGCAATTTTGGTAGACTCCTTGAGAATGGGAAGTAGTGGAGGCTGTTTTCAAATTTCCACTATCGTTTATACGCGCCAGCGTAAACCAAACTTATTTCTTCGTGCTTGCTTATTGGGCGTAACGTTAGTTGCCCACTGTGATGGAAAAGAAAGATGATGATAGATGAAACTAGTGCAGATCATAGAGACATAAAAGAGAATAAACTTGCAAACAGAGTGAAATTTGAAATTTAAAAACATATTCATGAAAATTCCCATTCAAACATTAATAAAGAGAAGAGTCTCCTTTTGGCTTATTCATTTTCACAGCTGTACAGTCGCAAGTATACATGGTTATTTTGCATGAGTGTTTTTTTTAATTTGTCAAACGTATATATGCATTAAGTGAATGAGTAGATAGAGAGGTCAGAAAAGTAAGACAAGGGAGGGTGATTAGTAGTATTAGGACATGTTTAGGTCAAAACCTACTAATAGTGCATGAGCTTTAAGGTCTTCCGCCATCTAGATGCAGTCCTTGTGTCTCTGAATGATTGTCCAGCCTCTGTTGAAAGATCCCCACGAACAGTGCGGTAGCCACGTCTATTGTCAGGGAGTCTTAAAAGCAGCAAACTCGAAGTGACAGGAAATGTGAACGCACTCTAAACTCTGCATTTTGATACCATACCCTTTTTGGATTGTCATGGGAGAGCCCACATGTACTTAATGGCGAAATATCGATGTTTGGGTGATCCCGGTCATTAGAAGTCTTATAGGCAGTAATTAAGTCGTCTCTAAGCCGAGATTGGATAAGTTTGAAACAACCCAACTTCTTCAACCGTTCACTATGTGTTTTATTTCTGATTAGCCACCCTTCTGAATAACACATCAGCAATGATAGTGTACACTTCAATGCGTCTTACGTATGCTGTGTACATCCACAGAAAGACCTAAGGAGTGAGCGCATCTAGTTGTGTGTACGTAGATTACATAATCACATATGCCCTCGTCACATCACCAGCGTAATTCACGCTTGTACTCATTTTTCCATCAAAGCTAGACGTTCTTAAATGCTACATAGGAAATAACCTACATCCTGAAGTTTACAGGAGCGTAGTTGAACAACTCTGCTTTTTACAGGTTGAAAGTCATACCGCTGACCAGTGTCCACTCTCCCAGAATTGTCAAGCCTGCTTGTAGCCTTCTGCGCCTCCCAACTACTTCATTCTTCTCCAAATCGGATGCGATTAACTTTGGCTCAGGATTTCACTTCATCTAGGCAGTCTTCCAACCATGAGAGAATCAGGCTACCAATACCCGCGTGACTTACTTTGTGAAGGGAAGGGTAATACTGAGCCGCGTTAAATGTCTTCATGAAATCGACGAACGTTACACGGACTGGAACATTCATATCCCAGCATGATGTTCAATCATTCCAAGAAGATAATCAACTATTCATACAAGATCGGCGTCTGCTGAAACCATGTTATACCTCGTTGAGCATGTTGGTCCAGTAGAGACGTTGACTGATGTGATCACTAGTTAGACTTTCCAGTTATTCTGATACTAATGGGAGCAGCGCTGCTGGCCTCCAAATTGTGGTACTTTGCTGATACCCACCGTTGAAGATAGGGGAAAGGATGGCTCTCTTCTATTCCTTTGGCGGTTTCCTTGATTCCATGAAGTGCTAGAATAGGCCACAAAGGGGCTTTCAGTGAGGTTCTTCACACTGTTTCGCGACAGATAATCGAATTTCGTCACAACCTGGAGGCTTTCTACAGGTGAGTTTCCTTAAATTCCCTGATGCCTTTAAGAGGTTTGTTCGGGGTGTGCCTATTGGATTTCCTGTTGAAAAGCGAGCAATACAGTCTATATGGTTCGAATTGATAATACTAATAGTGCTATTTGGCCAGAATGAATCTTTCGGTCACTTAAAACTGGGGAGATATTGGCCGTTTGGACCTCTTAAGACACATGTCCCCTTGTTGTTAGGTTTTCTTTCTAACATGAATAGGTATTTGCTTTTAAGATTCGTCAAGAGTTTTCTCCAGTGTTTACTTGAAATAGCTCTCTGTCATTCCAGCACCTTGTGTTGCAACAGTCTCCGAGTTCTAAGTACACTTCTTGTTCGGTTTGACTTTCAAACAGACACCATGTAAACCAGGCTCTTCGGCTGGCTTACAGAGAGTGCTGGTTGCCTCTATTCGGCCACAAGGATTGTTTCCTACGATGTAGTGTGACTAGAAGGAATGTATTCTGGGGTTGCCGAGTAAATACTCATTTTTACCACTTTCCAGTGTTCCTCAAATACCAATTCAGCCCAGTCTGTGGGCGATT